CTGCCTGCAGCGCTAGATTAAAGAGACCATTCAGAGAGAGATTCGGCAGAATGCTTCTAGTGGTCGAGTTTCGTTGCTCTTTGATTCAACTGCAGATGGCAGGAAACGTATGCAAATAACAGAAGCATTTCTTCAACGGAACAGTTTCATGAACGATTCATTTACACCGCAATCAAGTGATTCAGAGCAAAGATGACAACCGCTCAAGTGAAAGGTAGTTGAATCGGCCATTTCACGCAGTCTCTGAGTAGAGAATTACATTATTTTTCATTATTTCCGTTATTGGCACTTGAGAAGACCGTGGCGCTGCCAGATGGAAACTAAAATGATTCACATAATCGGAATATGTGTCAAGGACTCGTTAGATTTGCACAGTTAGTACCAGAGCAGGTTAATCCAGCCATCGTTTCATCCACCTGCTCATCCGTCACTGCATGATAATCACCTGCGTGAAGAACAGATGACATGATTGACAATGAAATACTGCGGCACTTTATACCGTGATATGTGCGACTTCGAAGCGCGGTGCAAAGAGGTGTGGTGCAATACGGCGCGATCCTCATGTAATGAATGATTTTTACGTCTATTCACTCACCCAACCATGGAGGTTTGAGTTGCTCGGTCGGTAAACGCTGAATCTACAGTCGAAGGTCAGTTAGTCACACAGGTTTCACCTCTACAAGAATGTAGCTGCAGTTTCATTTCTCACAAAAGGGTGCTATTCATCTACATGAGCGTCATGATGTACCAGCGATCCAACATGAATTTCAACTCGTGATCATTTGATTGTGAGCGTGATGCTCTACAATCCCTGTCTACGACCTAAACAACGACTGTCCTAAGAAAAGTTCATGAAGGAAGATATGTTGACCAATTGTTTTTTTAAACATAGCTTTTAAAAATACTTACTAATGACGATGATGTACGAGAATTAGGCGAAATGGTAGATGATTGGTCAGAGGTCGACTAAAAACTCCAGAGGTGGCAGGGTTGATTATCAAGAATTTTATTAAGCGGACGATTCCCTTTAGCAACGAGTTCATTCAACGTTACTTCTGTGAAACCAACTGAGAAACGTCAAAACCATGATGTTCCGGTGTTGTTGCAGGAAAGAAAGTTCTGGCCATACCGTCTAATGCAGCCGATTCTCAGAACTGCAATTCACCTGGATCCAGCTGATCGCTGACTATCGAATATGATAATAAGGGTGATAATAAGTGTGAACAAAAAAACATGTCCCAGTGGCCGCATTACCACGTCTGCCAATCTCATGGAAATTTCAGAGTGGTGCTCAGGAGCATGGGAGGAATATATTTCCAAAATCTA